TAGTCTGCATCTTTATTTGTCCTCAGCCACAGCTAATTCTGAGACACTTAAAGTACATTTTAATGTCGTTAGTCGATCCTTACAGTTTAGTTTCACAAAGTCTTTCCCTCATTTTGTACTTTGTATGTAAAGAAGAGAGATGAAAAACGTCATTTCATCTTAATGGTTTTGACACAAAGTTTGGACACCCCTGTATTATTATAGTGTCCCTTTGTCCGTACATAAACTTCCTCTTGTCCTGCTCATAACTTCTGATCTGCTCAAGTTACTTTAATGAAACTTGATGCATCATCACTAGACAAAGTGTCACGTAACTTTTCATCACACCAGCTCCAAGGTCAAGGTCACAAATCAAGGTCCAGTTTTTTCTACAAGGCCTTTGCTTGCCTGTTTTGCTCTGTTGTCTTGCTGTATAATATTTTGTCGATGGCTGTATAATGTGCTGTATGCGGCACTCTTGTTGTAACTTTAGACTTTTACTTGAGTAGATTTCTACACGAGTAACGACTTCTCTTGGGTATGTTGTCCCCGCCTTAGTATAAAACTAGTAGGCTGCTTCATGTCTCGCCTTGTGTTCTCCTCAGGACTTACTGTGAGACAGACATTGACCCTGCTCACCGAAAATACTCCCAGCTGCAAGCCGCCATCCGCTACCTGCTTGGGAAGGAGCCAGACCTAGAGTGTAGGTTTTCATTTACACCGATTTTTAAAGTAAAACTGAACTAATAAACCTGTAATTTGACCTAACTGGGCTGCGACTGTTGGGAGACTTGATGGTAAATAAAAGGTACATTTTCTAATGACTACTCATCGAACTCTATGAATGTTTGTGATCAGAGAGCTACGTTTTTTAAAAACACAATTTATTTTGTGCATGACTAGTTTCCAACAGTCGCTGCCCAGTGACACTCATTTTAGGGGACTTTATTCATTGTTGTTGTTTTTTTTTAAACATTTTAATAAAGCTTTGTTCTGCTTGTGTTTGACTCAACCTACCTGTTACCAGGTGACGAGGTGTTGCTACAGCAGCTGTTGTTTGATGCCGTGGTAACTGCCCCACTGGAGGCCTACTGGAACACCTTGTTACTTAATGACAGGTCAGGCTCTTTTAAGTTTAATTAATTTCATTAGTTTAGACAAAAAGACATGACCGGAACAGCCATGAGGTACCTCTGTCTTAACCTGAGACAATCATTTTGAAGTGACAGAGACTTGCTAATTAAGATAATTATTTCTTGTTTGACTTTTGAAGGCTGGAACCAGGAGTTGAGACGGCGTTCCTTGGGACTCGTTCCGGCCTGATGCGCACCATGAGATACACGGGAACTGAGACCAGGGTTGCAAAGTGAGAGGCGAAACATTTCAAACTGCAAGAGTCTGTTTAAAAAAGTAGACTCACAAATTTATGGTGGTATTACGTTGATTTACTTTTAGTGTTTCGTGCCTCAAAGGGGGATATTAAAAAGTGCTTAAAGATTAAAAAGAAACATCGCCCTACCCTGTACAGCACCCTGTTCTTAAAAATGAACACCAGCACACTTCTCCTTTCCTCAGGGATTTTCTGACTCAAATATGCCATTAACAACCTCACTGTCACCAGGTCCTGCTGCCTTCCCCTTCTTCATTCTTTTCAGAGCTGTCCGGATTCACCCTCACTAATCTTTCCCACTTCCTGGTCCACAGTTTCTATGACCTCTACTCTTCTTTCTCTTTCATTCTCTTCATTAATTAACTCCTCAAAGTTCTCCTTCCATCTTCCCATCACACTCTCCTCACTTGTTAGAACATTACTATTCGTATCTTTAAAAAGCCTAACCTGCTGCACATCCTTTCCAGCCTGATCCCTCTGTCTTGACAATCCATACAAGTCCTTCTCTCCCTCCTTGTTTTTCAGCCTCTCGTTCATCACATGCATTCTGTTTCCCTCTATGCCCCGAGCTCCATTTCTTTATATTACTGTGCACTTTACCTTCCTGCTTTGGACCTGGCATCTTTGATTTTATTGTTCTTGCTCTGACTTTGTTTATGTCCTGGGATTATTTTTTTTTTTTCAACCATCTCAGTATTCGTTGTGCCGGTCCGAAGTGTACTTGTCAGTGTTGAATGTAAACAAATGACTCATAGTTGTTGGCGACAGAAGTGATTCTGCTGATTTTGCTCTTTTATTAAATGCTGTAGACGTTTGGTATTGAATTATACTTTTTGTTTTTGTTCAACAGATGATGCACTAATACTGAAAAAACCCCAAAACGTTTAAAATTAATTTGTTAGGACAGCTATTATGAGTTCAAATATCATCTGGTTGTTCCTCACAGGAAGTTCCTGACGCTCTCTGATAAAACCAACCTGTTCACCATTGATCACTTCCCTCTGTGGTACCGCCTGGCTGTGGAAAACACCCCCGGGAAGTTTTACTACTACCCTGTCAACGACAAAGGTGATCGTTTGACCAACTCCCAACGTTTAATATTTCTAAGAGAAGCTGACTTTCGTAAACAGAGAAACCGTCTTCTGTGCAACAGGAGTGAAGTATGTTGTAGCGACCACAGCTGTGACGGTAACATCTGGAGGAAGGACAGCCATGGCCGGAGGTGAGTCTTAGCGCTGTAGTTCCTCCTCAGAGGAACAGAAGGAAACTCTTCTTCATCAAGTGGTCTTTGTGGTTCAGTTGTTGGTTCATACGTCGACTCCCAACACATTCAACATGTCAGTGCTACAATCTGAAAGCATTTTTATGTTTAATGGGTTTTGAATAGTTTTATATTGTGTTTGGAGTTTCTTCGTATCTTTTCTTTTCCACGTCCAAAGTCAGAAATTCAGAATAACATCAACAACAGCAGCTAAAATAAAAAAAAATAGAGCGCTCGGGGCATGAAGCCTGAAGTTACATCAGAGCCGCTGAACTCTGCTGCCCCTGCAGAACAACGTTAGTGCAAAAAGACAACAAAAAAGTTTTTATTATAATTAAAGCTTGTTTTTAAAATGCACTTCATGTTGCCAAAAAAATCTCTAAATTGCCACAATTTTTTTTTTGAAATTATGTAATTAACATACATGACATGGCTAAGTAAAAAAAAAAAAACTGTTTTGAAACGAATGATTTAAAAAGTTTTGTAAACTGTCTGAAGGTCGAGCTGCCCTCTGAATGTCAGGAGAAGGGACAGCAGCACAAAATGCTCCGCCATCCGTCCGTCAGGTGTAATTTGTTCTGCTGCAGGTCTCTGTGGCTTTAACAAAAAACTGTAGACAGATTTCTCTTGTAGACGAGAGAGATCGACATCCAACCAAACACAAAGTGCATAAAAACACCAGAGACAAACTATAATACCCAAACATCAAGGCTACACGGTGCAAACACAATATACCACTGATTCATTATTGGAAAGAACATCCATCCAACCATCCATCCAACCATCCATCCAAACGTCCACATGTCCGTTCATCCATCCAAACGTTCCTTCATCTTCCTCTTGTTTTAAAGTCAGGTCTCGGGGGCAGCATCTTGAGCAGGGAGGTCCAGACATCTCTCTCCCCACAGCCTCTTCCAGCTCTTCTGGAAGGACCCCAAGGTGTTCCCAGGCCAACCAAGAGACATATAGTCTCTCCAGAGTGTCCTGGGTCTTCTCCGGGGTCTCCTCCCAGTCGGACGTGTTCGAAGCACCTCCCTAGGGGTGAGCCCAGGGAGCATCCTTACCAGATGAACCACCTCAACTGGTTCCTCTGGATGTGGAGGAGCAGTGGTTCTACTCTGAGTCTCTCCTGATAACTGAACTTCTCCCCCTGTCTCTAAGGGAGAGTCCAGCTCCTGCAGAGGAAACTCATTTCAACCTCCTGGATCCATGATCTCGTTCTTTCAGTCTCTACCCAGAGTTCATGACCAGAGGTGAGGGGAGGAACGTAGACTGACCAGTAAACAGAGAGCTTTGTCTTACAGCTCAGCTCCCTCTTCACCACAACGGACCGGTACAGAGTCCTCAATACTACAGATGCTGCACCAATCCATCTGTCAGTCTCACGCTCCATTCTTCCCTCACTCATGAACAAAACCCGGAGATACTTGAACTCCTCCACTTGAGGCAGAACCTGAAGAGAACAATCCACCCTTTTCTGACTGAGGACCATGGCCTCAGATGTGGAGTTGCTGGTTCTCATCCCAGTTAGAAAGAACAGAATCAAAAAATTGTTTTAAACATTGTGACAAAGCTGTTCTTGTAATCTTCATACTTTGGATCTTATACTTTTGACTAAACTGATGAACTCATCCAACATGAAACGAGAGTTGACTCAGCAGATAAATTAAAAAGAAAGTTTAGTTTTATGTTTGAGCTTTTCACCACCACCTGGACACATCACATTTTTATGTTTTTATTCATTTTATAGGATTTTATCCTTTGTATGTTTAAACACATACCTTCATGTTGCTTTGATCTTTTTTTTTACAGCATCATGTGCAGCACTTTGTGAGAACAAGGAGCTGTTATTTAAAATGCTGCATAAAAACAAATTAGACTTTGATTTTATAAACTGGAGTAACCACGGCATGCTTAAAATCGTGCACAAGGCCTCGTTCCATTTGAGCAGCACTTTAACCAGATATTTTGTCTGGTCTTTGGCTTTTCTTCACCGTTTTGTAAGAAAAGACATTTCAGACATCCTGCAGACTCACAGGGAAGTGCTGTCTATAACTGAAATTGCAACTCATCTCTAGTATTTCGCTGCTAATCACGAACGCTAAAATTAAAGAAACGGGTAAAAACATTGACAAAATCAGTGTCTGAGCTGAGATGATTTAAAATACAAGTTGTGCTTTTTAAATCGTGACTGGCAGTTTTCATACTGAACCAGGCTGAGCCAGAAGGTTACAAGTTGTTTTATTTCTCTGCTTTACTTTAAAAATCTCTGTTCGTTTGTGTGGAGCACCAGGAAACGAACTGATAAACGTCTGCCAGGTTTACTGTGGAGGCACAACATACGATGTGAGAAGTCTCTGGACTTTGCACAGGGAGGGAGACGGTGTTTGTCTTTGGGTGGACATAAGGCACAGGAGCAACAAGCACATGTTCCCCGTCGCTGAGGGATTTAAACAGTGAATGTTTTGTAGTTTTACTTGCTGGTATTGGATCAGGGGGCTCCTCTGTCGGCCCAGCTCCAACGAGATGTTTCAAACAGATGTTACTCCTGGTGACATTTGTCTGGTCGAAGCCAGCTCGGCCACAGAGTTCAATCCAACGATCACATTTCTCTCTCTGAGTAATCGGCTTTGGAAACAGAAAGAACTAAATACCTTATACCTAAAATAAATACCTTGTAGCTTGACGGCAAATGGACGGTTGCAAGATCCTGTAGCAACAATGCTCCTTAGATAAAAATGTCTGTTTTTTATTTTATTTTTATACCTGTACAAACCATGTCTACAGCACTGGCGTAATCCAAGTTCTGTTTGCCAGATATCCAGGTACTTTTTGACATCACAAATTGCTTAGGGAGCCATTTTTAGTAACCCCGACCAGCACAATTCCAGCAGCTGTAATTCACAACACAGCCTCTGGGTGGCAGTAGAAGCCGGACATTGTTTGAAGGCATTTAATTTAGAGAAATGCTGTTTACCATCCATCCATCCTTTATCTTTACCCGCTTATTCCATTTTGGGTCACGGGGGTCGCTGGTGCCCATGTCCAGCAATCACTGTGCAAGGGGCGGGGTACACCCTGGACGGGTCTCAAGTCCATCACAGGGACACATAGAGACAAACGAGACAAACAACCATTCACTCTCTCACTCACACCTAGGGACAATTCAGAGTTACCAATCAGTCTAACATGCATGTTTTTGGTCTGTGGGAGGAAACTGGAGCACCCGGAGAAAACCCACGCATGCAAGGCCCCTGGACCGGGGTTTGAACCAGGGACCTGCTCGCTGAGAGGCAGCAGCTCTTATCAGTTGCGCCACCGTGCTGCCTGTTTATCATACCATTTTATTTATAGAGCACTTAAAACGGTGTCAAGGCCAACCAAAGTGCTGTACAGACAGAACAACAGGCAACACTCAAACCGTCTTATCACAAGCAGAACTGGTTTGTTCCACTTTGCAGTAAGCTGTTGGGGTAAGAATCAGTTTTGTTGTGTGTTTCCTTGACTGATGAAGCCTTCTGGATGGAAGGCGAAATGTTTCAGCACAAAAAAAGAAACTGTCCAGATGACCTGACTGAAGAATGCTGGATTGTATACCTGGATTATTGAGCATGGACTTTGTTGTTTCCATTAATGATACTTCTTACAAACCAAAGCTACACAAATCAAAGTTTTCTACAAGCAAGACTTCTGGTTCTGCCTCCAGACTTACTAACTCCACAAGGAGGCAGACATTAGAGACTGGCTCTCAACTAAACCTGCAATAAACTACGGTAGTTTATTGTGGGGAAAAGCAGCCACAAATTTATTTGTGTCCGTGTTTTTATTTATCCATTTATTTTGGGTTCAGTCGATATAAACAATTTTTTTTCCTGACAAAGCCTAAAAATCCTTCTAAGTTTTTTTTTTTGTCTGAATTTTTACAAATTCTCTCATAACCTTTCAGTGATTTTCATTCAACCTTTATGTATACAGGTTAGTTCCATTAACCTGGGGGATTTGGCCACACCGCTGTTCCTCAGGGGAAGAGTTGACCATAGGGGAAATCATTTTATAACTTTATTAATTCCACATTTATTATATCATAAAATAATGCATCCCTCATGTTTTCAGTTTTAATATTAGCTCAGCATGTGGTGATCTGCTTGTGTGTTTGAGAGACGCTGTAAATATTTACCAGAGAATATTTCATTGATGCCAGCTGGATGTTGCTGTGGACTTCTGCCTCTCATCTATTTCAACAAAATTGTCTTAGTTTTGATGTAACAAGCAAAAACACACTTCCAAGTCGTGTAAGAAATGTTCAGCATGTAAAGAATGTGCTGCACATGCATGCAGGCTGCAGAATTGGACATTCTACGGCTCAGACTGGCTGACGATGGTTGTCTCCTGTTGGTCATTAGCAGGTGCACGCGCTCCCGCAAAATTCATTTCAATTTTATATTTTTTTAATTTCAGGCTGCGATAACTCTAAGAGACTCGTAAGTTTATTGTGGAAAACAATATTAAATCTTTTTTGATTTCTAGGCTGACCATGATCAATTTTCGTCCAAGGGAAATTAAAGGTTTTAAAGTTAAAGGGACTTCCAGGGGTTAAGCTTTCAGAATAGCACCTAGTAGAGGCCGAGATGGGGTAGAGGTAGGGCAGCCGACGTGAGACCAAAAGTTGCAGGTTGAACTCCCTGCCTTGCCCACATGTTGCGGTGTTCTTGAGCTGTTTTTGTTACTTTTTTTGCCATCTTATTTGTAAACAAACAAACAAAAAAACATGTATGCCTTTTTATAATTGCCTATTGTTGTCATCATTCTTTATTAAATCAGGTCTCTCTTGTAAATGAGTCCTCGAGGCTCAATGGGATTTACCTGTTTAAATAATGGTTGAATGAATGAACATAAGGGTACTTGTACACAGTAGATGCCCACTGCTCCACCTGGGTGTATCTCACATGTGATGGGTACAGAGACTAATGTCATCATTGTATGTCCCCTTACAATGATGACAACACATAGCACTTTACTTAATAAGCCCAGGTCAAATATTTGACCAAGATTCCTGCAAAGTAGCAGCTGAGATTAAATCACAGCAGTGTCCAAGAAAACTGGCCTTAAATCTAAGGCTGGAGGAGCAGAGGATGAACAGACCAACTAGAATGCAAAGGTTTGTCCATCAGGAAGGAGTCAGGGGAGGTCAGTCAATGCTAGATGTGCAGAGCTGGACCAGCAGATCAACCTGAAACTACAGTGTGTCATGTAAACCGATGGGCCTCAGGACACTTCAGAACGTGTCAGAAACTGCTGATTCGATGCACAAAGTCACAGTTTTCCATACGTGTCACCCTCGGTGTGTCAGGAGACGCTTGCCCGTCTTCAGTGTTGGCTTCAAGTCCCGACTCAGCCATCAGAGGCTGCCCACGGCTCTTCATCCGCCTCTGGTACCGCGCCATGACCAAGGCATAGATGCAACCGTAGGTTGCAGCCACAACCATCATGACGACCACTGTGCCACAAACCACTCCAGCAACTATCTGTGTGCCATGGGCCCGGCGTACGCTGACGGGTCTGTAGCGCTGGCGAACGCAGTCATCTGTGCTGCTGACCCGGCCCGGTGGGCATAGTGGCTGTGTGGCCTGATCCAACACAGCCCTTTGGGTTTGGTTCTGCAGGCAGTAGCTGAACATCTCTGCTGGCACACTGCGGATGTCCCTGCCTTTCAAGTCCTTCGGGAGACTGCACCGCATCACGTCTACCTGCCCATCTATAAAACAGATGGAGGAGAGACAAGGGCAGGGGGCGGGGGAGGAAGTGAAAGAGAGGGGGAAATAAAGAAAGGAAAGATGGGTGGGTTGACAAACACGGAGGTCATTATATTCTTAGATGTTGTTGCTTGGCTTTATCCATCTTACTTTCATCTATCCGCTTCGGATGCTCTTGTGTTTGCAAAGGACAAACTATGAGCACTGAGTGTCTGAGGTTCCCTACAGAGAGCGCTGCTCACCCCTGAACATCAACCACTCAATCCAGTGCTTGAAACTCCTCAGCTTGCAGTCACACATCCAGGGGTTTCCAGCCAGCTGGAGATCCCGTAGTCTCATCAGCGGCTCAAATGTGACCCTATCCAGAGACGCAAGACTGTTGTTGGCCAGGGACAGCCAGGTGAGACTTTGAAGGACATCCAGCAGACCTTTGGGCAGCCTCAGGAGCCCATTAGAGGACAAGTCCAGCTCCTGCAGCTGCCACAGTCCCTTGAAAACCTCCCTGCTCAAACCAGCACTGCCTTGGTTTCCATTTGAGTCCTGGACAGTCACTCTGCTCTCTGCTAGGCTGGAGGTTGGCAGACGTATGCCGAGGTAGTTGGAAGAAAGATTTAATGAGCGCAGGCTGCTCATGCCCTGGAAGGCTCCAGGCTGCAGACTGTAGAAGTGGTTCTGGGAGAGATCCAGGATCTCCAGTCTGCTCAGGTTGAACATGCTAATGTTGCCCACTGAGGAGAGATTGTTCTGGGACAGACGGAGGACCCGACAGTCCAAATCTTGCATCTCCAGTATGGGCACTAGAGAGACGAGGTCAACAGCAGAGCAGTCATTTGTGTTCCTGCAGCAGGTGCAGACACCAGGACAGCCACCAGCTGAGCCCAGAACTCCCAGCAGAACCAACACCGTGCTGATCCAAGCCACGCTCACTGAAAAACATAAAAGAGAGGAAATGCACCTTTTAACAAAATACCGCTGCATACAGTACATTTTTAAACTCACAGAAGCTCGTGCCACTGTGCAGGGTATTAGGAGTAGTCTCATCATATGATGAGCTTGATCTTTAACTCAGACAGGAAAGGTGGTGGGTGATACACATTCCTTCAAGGAATGCTGGGTCTCTCATCCCCTGCTGTTTTAAAGAGGCTATCACACAGTAATGTACAGCATCAGTGTATACCAATGTACAAGTAAAATGGTAAACACTGGTTTCAGCGGCACAAGTTGTGCGTCAGTGCCAATCAGATATTTTGTACATGCAAAAGATTTTCAGTTCATGTCGACAAGTTGCTCATAAATTATGTACAAAGTAGAAGTTACAGATAAGTTGTGCACAAGTTCAAACCTGTTACTCATGAGTTTACTCATGTTGGAGACCAGCTGTGCAATAGTGTAACCTAGAAAGTTCCTGTAGAAACTTTGATAGGGACAACCATGTTGTGGCCATTTAAAATGTTTGATTTGACATTACTATGTGCTGGAGTTCACTCTAAGCTACCACTACACCAAATTTCAGCTTAACATCTCTAAAAATGGCTGTTTTATACTGTTTTTTCTTTTTAGCTCAGTCAGCCATCTTGAATTTTAAGATTTGAATACAGAACGAGTTGTGCATCACTGTCAGCTACAACCACACCAAATTTCAGCTCAATATCTTAAAATAGCTGAGTTATTATATTTTTTCCCTTTTAGCTAAGGTGGCCATCTTGGATTTTTAATTTGCAATAGGAGTGTATAACAACTCGCTCTCAACTATGACCTTACTAAATTTCAACTCAATATCTCAAAGAATGACTGACTTATAGTCAATTTTGAGTTTTCTGAGGTAGCCGTGGCAGCCATCTTGAACCAAAATGGCTCCAAAAGTGTAAGTGTAACATCTCTGGATGATGTTAATGTATTTTGACAAATGCAGATGAGGGTGGATGTTTTTTTTTTTCTCTGTGCTCTCGATGAAGACAGACGTGTCCTCTTTTGCTCCGTCCTCCTGCTTCCCTGCTTTGCTCTCTTGTCTTGTGAACCCTTAAAGAGCCTCTTTATTTTTCTGCATACCGTCCTAATTCGAAGGATTTTGATCAGCTGGTCTCTCAACAAAATTGATCAACTTCTCCTGACAGGAAGTCAGGGTAAGGAGGACCCTCTTACCTCAACAGAAACAAAATTGGATTCATGATGACAACTGGATTCTGCTGTTTGGGTTGGTCAATCTGGATTGTCTACAAATTTGTGTGGAATGTGTCCAAGCTTGGCAGCACTCAGACTGAATTATGTGGAGCTGCGTCAGAGTTGGAGCAGGCTGATATCAAGACTGAACTTTCTGGCAGCACCCATGAACGGTTGGGAATAATTTTGGAGAAGCTGTGAGCTCGACTTTCAGCGTAAGGAATCAATTTGGCTGTTTGGAGTCACCATCAGAGAAATATACCAGCGAGACTAAAAGGCAGAAACGGCAATTTACGAGTTCTGGCCTTGACGCCGGACTTATCTCAACTTCTCCTGGCATGTTTAAAAAAAACAAAGATGCTTTGCCTCCTCACCCCTCCCTTCCCCAAGGCCGTGGACATGTGACAGAACCTCAACCAAGCTGATGATGAATAACACCTCTTGTCTGGACAATGGCTGAGAGGGGGGCTCTGGACTACGCTACAACCTTCCCTTAAAATTCAATGTTATCACCGGCCTATATGTATCATGTCTATTTACGTTGCTTTGCTGCTGCAGGTTTTTCTTGTTTCGGCTGCTGCCTTCTTCAGGGGTCGCCACAGTGAGCAAACTCGCATGAAGACTTGGCAGTTGTTTTACGTCGGATGCCCTTTATGACGCACAGGACCACAGATCTACCACAGCCCTCTGTGTGGAGCAGAGAACTGCCATCTAGGGTGCCCAGGGGAGCAGATGATCTTGCTTTAGGGCCCAAAGTGGGGCAAATGAGGGTGGAGGCAGAAGCGTGTGTTTCAACTTTCTCACACGTTTGGTTGCGATGACTTGGCTGTCAGTGCCATAGTCTTGTAATCCTGAGGCTGAACGTTCAAGTCCAGGTTGCATCAGGAAAGTTGTCACTGGTTTCTTTACCACGCAGACATTTCATGAATCTGAATGAAAGTTCTCCAAACAAATCCACTGGCAAGTCGTCTTCCCATCATCCCAGTATGTATTTTCTCTTCCAAAAGGGTAAAACACTTGCCTTCCCCACCCAAGGCAACAGCAACAGGTACAAGTAAAGTTTTTAACGAGGGTTTTCCTGAAATGGACACCCAAGTTTGCACCCTTCGTTGTTCTAAGCTGTTCAAGAAAAATAGACCTTATAATGAACTTAATGACAAGATATAAACAAACTGGGGAGAGAGGACTGGAATGTGATGTGGCTCTGTGTGCACGTGGTTGTGTATACGTATATGTGTGACTAAAGTGTGAAGGAGCGACAGGGATGCTTCATCACAAAAGGCCTTTGACGTAAAACAACTGGCAAATATTTCATGAGTTTGCTCGTTGTGGTGACCCCTGTTGTTGCCTTTCAGTAAGAAGGTTGTAGGTTCAACTTCAAACCGGGGTTTAGCTTTTCTCTGATTTCACATGAGCTTTTTCCGGGTTCTTCAGTTTCCTCGCACAGTCTAAAACCACACGTTAGGTTTCTTGGAAACTCTAAATTGTCCCCAGGTGTGAGTGACATTGTCCTATTTGTCCATCTGATGGTCTTGGGACATGTCCAGTGTGTATCCCTCCTCTCCCACTAAAACCACTGTCCATAAGCACCAGGTATAACCCTGAACAGGAACAAGTACGTGAAGAAGGTGGTGAGATGGACGGATTGCTTGTGGACATGGGTTACAAACTAACGTTTAAACACTGAGGCCAAATGAAAAACTGAGCTCTCTGAACAGACAACATGTTTCAGCTGCTGTCAGGGGAACAAACTGTAGTTACTCTTGTACAGTGTGAAGGACTCACCTACTCCCTTCAGCTGGCCGGGACCATGCGGGTCATGCCTCAGCATGTCTGTGGTAACAGCTCTACAGGAGCTTTGGACGTCCAGCTGTTATTTCTGGCTGCTGGGCCACCCTAACACCCAGGTTTGGGAAAGATCCTGAAAAACAGAAAAAGGGGCATGAAAATAAAATAAAGACACGGAGCTTTGTTGTCAAGGTGAATTAAGGCAACTGGTTTCTGAACTATTTACCTCCACTCAAAACTAGCATTGCAATTGTTGAAGGGTACTTCACATGCAAAGGTTAACTGAATATTTCTATAATTGTTTTCAATAGGGGGTGGCACGGTGACACAGTCCATAGAGCTGTTGCCTCGCAGCAAGGTGGTTGCCGGTTCAAATCCTGGCCTGAGACCTTTCTGGGTGGAGTTTGCATATTCTCTCCGTGCATGCGTGGGTTTTCTCCGGGTGCTCCGGTTTCCTCCCACAGACCAAAAACATGCATGTTAGACTGACTGGTAACTCTAAATTGTCTTTAGGTGACAGAGAGAGAATGGTTGGTTGTCTCATTTGTCTCTGTGTCCCTGTGATGGACTGGAGACCTGTCCAAGGTGTCCCCTACCTCTCACACAGTGACTGCTGGACATGGGCACCAGTGGCACCAGTGACCCGAAAAAGGAAGAAGCGGATAAAGATAATGGATGGATGGTTTCGATAGTTTGTTTGGTCTTTTCTGTTCATTTGGTTTTGTCAGTTCAGGTCCTTCGGTCGTATAATTTGGTGGAAATTACACAAAGAAGATATGAATTACAAATAAAAAATTAAGTTGAACATCTGTCAAAGGGACAAACTTACTCGGTATCGAAGCAAAGTAGGAAATGCTTGAGTTTCTTCTAAAAAATAAAATACATTTGGACTTTATGGATGATCTTCATGATTCTTTGTGACTGTGGTTCCACAAAGATTCATTTTTTATCATCATGCTGCTGCTGCTGGATCAGAACAGAAGATTTACCACAGATGTTCACTGATGTCTGTTTTCTCTGAGAGATTAATTCAACTTCCTGCTACACATTCAAAATACTCTCGTCCAGTGTCTCTGAACGTGGCACTTCCTAATTTAGAAGCTGTGTATTTTAAATAATTGGACTTAAGGAACGTCCTCGGTGGCCTCAGGATTTCATCTCTGCTCTTTGCAGATGATGTGGTCCGGTCAGATCTTCAGCTCTCACTGCAGCGGTTCACAGCCGAGTGTGAAGCAGCTGGGGTGAGAACCAGCACCTCCAGACCTGAGTCCATGGTCCTCAGTCAGAAAAGGGTGGATTGTTCTCTTCAGGTCGAGGGTGAGATTCTGCCTCAAGTGGAGGAGTTCAAGTATCTCAGGGTTTTGTTCACGAGTGAGGGAAGAATGTAGCTTGAGATGGACAGATGGATTGGTGCAGCATCTGCAGTACTATGGACTCTGCACCGGTCCGTTGTGGTGAAGAGGGAGCTCAGCTGTAAGGCAAAGCTCTCTGTTTACTGGTCGGTCTACGTTCCTCCCCTCACCTCTGGTCATGAACTCTGGTAGAGACTGAAAGAATGAGATCGTGGATCCAGGAGGTTGAAATGAGTTTCCTCTGCAGGAGCTGGACTCTCCCTTAGAGACAGGGTGAGAAGTTCAGTTATCAGGAGAGACTCAGAGTAGAACCACTGCTCCTCCACATCCAGAGGAGACAGTTGAGGTGGTTGGGGTATTTCATAAGGATGCTCCCTGGGCGCCTCCCTAGGGAGGTGCTTCAGGCATGTCCAATTGGGAGGAGACCCTGGGGAAGATCCAGGACACACTGTTGGTCTTGGAACACCTTGGAGTCCTCCCAGAAGAGCTGTGGAGAGAGATGTCTGGACCTCCCTGTTCAAGATGCTGCCCCCGAGACCCGAGTCCAGAACAAGATGAGAGATGGATGGACAGACTTTAGAAAATAAAAACGCTTCATATTATCAACAGAAACCTGGTCCAACACAGATGACTCATTGAACCATCACCTCCTAATTACAACACAATTTATTCATGCATGAAAGATGGATGGACAGATGGACAGATGGACAGATGGACAGACAAGCGCACATGATGCAACACTAATAGAAACATTAAAAACATAAAACATATTAAATGTAAAGTAAATGAATGTTTGTCAGAGTGAAAGAAGTCTTTGTGTCTCGTGTACATGTACACCGTTTGTAACGCATCAGTTGTAAATGGAGCTGCAGGACTCGTCCCTGTTCCTGTTTTAGATCAGCAACACGCTGAGTAGAAGCTAAAAGTAACAAAGGAACATCTAAAAGCTAACTGTAGCATCAGGGTAGCAAAAAGCTGAAAGAAACAAAGGGCTGGTGAAAAGTTAACGATTTTAAATAAAGTTAAACATCTTGAAAAAAAAAAAAAATGTTACAAAACCTAAAAGTCTTTTTTTTTTTCTGAATGTGAGGAACATTTAGATTTATAAAATAAAATAACACCATGTTAACAGAAAAAAGTAGAGTAAAAACATGCAAAGAAAAAATGTAAAAACACAAACTAACATTAAAAACCTGCATGAAGACTGAAGGTTTCACGTTTTGTAGGAAAAGCAAGTCGGATGAAGTTAGAACAGTCGAGCTACTCACCATCTGCTCAGCTTCTGTAGAGAGAAAACACTTAAACTTATTTATCTCTCCTGCTGAAGTAAGTGATTTCTGAAAAAAGTAAAGTAAAGGATGCTGCACTCCGAGGACACAAACCTGTCACTGATTAAAGCAGCAGTTGCTTCAGTCTGTAGCAGATATCAGAGGCTGCTCATCCTCCTCTTCATCATCATCACTCCCCCCCACCCCCCCATGGGCTGAACTCCAGCAAAGCCAGGAGGAGAGAGTGGGAGGGCTGGGGAGTCACGTGGGTCTGCTGAAGAAGGTGTGTGCAGCAGGGAGCTGGACCCACTCGGATCATCTCGTGTGATAATGTGAGACGTCCTGCTCCGAATGTTGTTTGGACTGAGGATGACTCTCAGCTACTACCACCTCCAGTTCAATCAGAATATTTCTAAAATCACTGAGTTATTAACATTTTTCTGCTGACGATGGCAGCCATCCTGAACATGGCTGACTCCAAATGTTACTAAATGTACATCCTATCATTACCTTCTGTGTGTCTCGTTAACATAGGTCCAGTGGTTCTGGTACAACAGAGACATGAACACACACACACTGGCAGGAGGGGAGCGTGACCTCCTTCACCTTTTATATAAATCACTTTGGTGGGCCTCCATGAGCACGCATTGATTATTTTGTCTTCTACAAATTTTCAAAACACTTTTTGTTTCCCGTCGCCGAGCGAAAAGACGGAATTGAAAATGCTCCCTGTCCGTTCGTGCATGTTGTGAGCACAACTCGTAAAATGAGAGTGAGGTACCGACTCCCATTTTGGTGTAGGACTGTATAGGCATAGGAAACGGGGTGTTCTGTTGGGGGCCAGGAGGGCCACCACCACATATATATATATATGTATATATATG